CATGCCATGCCATGCCACGCGATAAATTATAAAACCGCACATTTCCGTGATACCGTGGGCATGTGCATTAGAAATAACGGTAGAAACCGCGTGACTCAGAGATGGCCTGGCCTGCATAAAGGTGTATAAGTATCTACTGAGGCCATGCATCACAATACGAGACATGCATTTAAGGAGCACCTTGATATATTAATAAAGAAAAAAAAATTTATTCAACGTGGAATAGCATAAAAGCTGACGGCCCACCTGATGGAATTGATAACTATCGCCCATAGACATGAACAGCATACGTCACTGAAGAACATTGATGCTAATTTTTATTGAGTGGTAATTGAATAATAAGCCCGACTACCAGGATGTTTTCAGGGATGAAGAGAAGAGACGAGAGTACATTGGAGGGAAGAGGTTGTTAGTCATGGGGACAACCAGTCCCATTGATAGCAATATAAGGGTATATTGTTATTAATATATTGTTGTCAAGTTGACCTCTACGTGGCCTTTCCTGGAAAACATCGTGCTGAATTCCAGGTGTATTCATCACAATGGGCTAACTGATCTTCATAGGCTACGGTAACCGCTTACCATCAGGTGGGCCGTTTCTCACTTCAGTGGTAAAAGACCTACCTTTTCATTCTCACCTATTATTATTATTCCTCCCCCCCCCCCCTCCATTACGTAACCTAATAACATTGACCTGAAATGAAAAACATATTTTAATACTACGTTTTTTTTTTTAAATAAAAATAGAATTGTAACCCCACTTACCCTACGTTATAAATTTACACTAACGAGGTAAAAGTGAAAAATGATAGCTAAGAAAGAAACGCATTCAATTCCCGTTTTCCAATTATATATATATATAAAACTACAATAGTTGAACTTAAAACTAACAGACAGAGAGACCGTAAACACTATTGAAGAACGCTTTTGTCTGCTACAAAAATACTAACAAATTCAAAAGGCTCCCTCTCTCGATTGAAACTAAAACTTCTGTATCGAACACTGAACGAGCTCTCATTATTTCACGACTTGAAAACTTAAAATTCGCAACGTTTTTCATGATCTCACTTCTCCTTAACTCCAATACTATTGTGAAAGTTCGAACAAAAGATTGAAATATGCCAAGTTGTTACCCGCGACCGTTGCCGGCGAGGTAACTACCTAGCTACGTTAGTATATTTGCAGGCTGCAATATTATTCAAATTGTACGAAACTCGACTCCGTTCAAGCGTTCAAAATAATCATACGTTCCCTATGAATAAGATTGCAGATACTTACAGTATTTTATATATACATATGTTAATATATACTATTTATAGTTATTTATATATGTATTATATGTGATTTATGTAATTACAATTTGTATATACCACATATATATATACAGGGTGGCCCATAAGTCCTTAGTAATGAAAAAAATTCTTTAAAATAAAACTAATTACACTATGAATAATATTTTTATTTGTAAATATAGCTAGAAAAACGGGAATTATTTTTTGTAAATAACGTCGTCCAAATGTAATCCGTTACAGTCACGGCACTCTTGCAAACGCCTTCTGAAATTGTCGATGACTGCGCGGCACGTCACTGCTGAAATGCTTGCCATTTCTCTGCGGATGTTTTCTTTTAGGTCATTAATTGACCGCGGGTTAGAGTCGTACACTTTAGCCTTAAGGTAGCCCCACAAAAAAAAATCCATTGGAGTCAGATCCGGGCTACGTGGTGGCCAGGAAATGTCTCCTCTCTTAGAGATAACTTTGTTTGGAAAAAGTTGACGGATAACGGGCATAGCAGTATTGGAGGTGTGGGAAGTTGCTCCATCCTGTTGAAACCATGTTTGGGCATTAAAGCCTGGAAAATTTTGCAATTTTTGTGTGAAAAACTCCTCGATCATGGCCACATATCGCTCCGAAGTAACAGTAACAGCACGCCCTCTGCCGTCCTCAAAAAAGTAAGGCCCTTTGATGCCATGGGCTGACATAGCGGCCCAAACTGTAACTTTAGGGCTATGTAAGGGCTTCTGGTGCTTAAGTTTTGGATTAATCGGGCTCCAATAGGGGCAATTTTGTTTACTAACATGTCCGTTAATGTGGAAGTGTGCCTCATCAGAGAACATTATGTTATTGAACGAAGTAAACCGATTAAACATTTCATTAGCATAATTCACTCTCTGAATAGCATCAGTTTCTTTTAATTCTTGCACCAACTGAATTTTGTAAGGGTGCATAAGTAAATCTTTCTTCAAAATCCGTTGTAACGATGTCCTGGATACGTTTAATGCACTGGAACGCTTACGAGTTGACTGTGTAGGATTTTCACGAATAGATTGTGCCACTGTGTCGATGTTTTGTTCCGTACGTGATGTCCTTGGGCGACCCAACCGCGGTTTATCTAACGTCGAACCGGTCTCCTCGAACTTAGCAACCCAATTCTTAATCGTTTGGAGAGCTGGGGTGTCATCAAAGTTGTGTAAACCTTTGTGTTCTCGAAATTTACGCCTCGCAACGGTTGCCAAATTGTTGTTTTGATAAAACTCGCGCACACAAAACGCACGGTCCGCTTCGGTGAAACGCTCCACCGCGACTAAATTCCCAGAAACCGAAGTTACTGCCCCCGCTGCCCCTGCACCGCTCACGCGCGCCGTTTTCGTTTAATTCAAATTTTACTTTTCTAAGGATTTTTGGGCCACCCTGTATATATACCAGAGGGAGGCTTGGGTACCTCTGTCTCATTCGTGTTTCAACCTTGAAGCAGTTGTTTGTATGGCTGTGTTACGGTTTGAAGGGTGGGATATGGCGTGAATTTACTGGGTACAGAGGAATAACACCTGAGTCCTCAGGAATGGCAACGCATGGGGGGTATCATGGGCGAAACTGGTACTGCTCATGTCTATAGGCGGCGGTTACTACTTTCCATCAGGTGGGCCGTCAGCTTGTTTGCCATTCTAAGTTGTATAAAAAAATATATATAAAAACTACACAATAATAATAGTTACATAGTTAACAACTCCTGGATGCATTCGGAGTGCATTTCGCCTGAAATGCGCAATCACCAGCCGGGCTCAGCGGGCGGGGAGTCATTCCGATAATTACTAAAGTGCACTGTCGTGTTTTAAACCACGATTATGGTGCTTAAATCTTGTTCAATCCGTAGACTGTACGCCTCGTGATTTCCATCCAGAACATTCTACATTTACCATTATGTTCCACGATTACACGACTGTAAATACGTCTCTTATGGGACTTTTTTTATTGCCTCTGTCGAATAGCGATGATTACGTTGCTTTGTGCAATTGAGGTCCCGGGTTCGATTCCCGGTTGGACCTATTTGGGAAACGAACTTTTTTCAACCGACTTTAAAAAGGAGGTTATCAATTCGGTTGTATTATTTTTTTTTATTTGTTACCTCATAACTGAATCAGTTATAAACCGATTTGGAAAATTATTTTTTTATCTAAAAGGGTATACTTACAGATGGGTCCTGTAGAAATTTTATTAAAATCGGTTCAGCAGTTTAGTTTTTAAATAATTGGTTTTATCAAAATTGAAGTCGGTTTTTTTTTTGGGACACAATCTTTAATGAATTAATTGGCTCATATCTGGATATTCTGGCATGTATCTCTAGATATTTCTTTGCCTGTTGCCTCATAACACGCGGTATTCTAGCTTGACAACCAGGCGTTTGCTGTGGTAATGTAGCACTAATTATATTTATATCTGTCTTTATGTCCATTCATTCATCCGACTCTTAAGGGTGATAATAGAATGGTAACCCTACCTGCGCTATCGGTATACGCTGACAGAGCACCAGAGAGGGATGATTTTTTTTATACAGCTTAAAATGACAAACAAGCTGACGGCCCACCTGATGGAAAGTAGTAACCGCCGCCTGTCTATAGACATGAGTAGTACCATGGACATAACAGAGTGTAGTTTCACCCATGATACCCCCCATGCGTTGCCATTCCTGAAGACTCAGGTGTTATTATTCTGTACCCTGTAAATTCACTGCCATATCTCACCCTTCTAAACGAAACACAGCCATGCAAACACAACTGCTTCACGGTAGAAACACGAATGGTACAGAGGTGCCCAAGCAAACGACTTTTGTGCGAAGTCTGGTAAAGATGATAAGTAAACGTGAAACTTCGTAATCAAAAAACACGTTTAATTACATGACGCAATAGAATCCCAGACTACATCAGACATAGTGCTGCGGATATCCACTGGATAGTGGAACAGTGACCACTGTAGTCCAAACAATTTCCATCAGGTGGCCTGTCAGCTTGTTTGCTATTCTAAGTTATATAAAAAAAAAAGTTGAAGCGAAAATAGGCCAGCCTTAAAGCTCCAGCAACCGATAACCGATGGGGAATGGTTCTCGAATAAAGACTCTGTTCAGACAAGCGTAATGGGGGATGAACCTGCAAGGGGGAAAGGAATTGTTAGTAACGGAGACTAAGAATCCTATTGCTAGCAATATACTCAACTAGGTCGACCTGCTCGCGGTTGCACCTGGAAACTATCATGGTTAATTCATCATGATGGGCTAACTGGCCTGTTTTCATTCTCATCGATCATCCTTCACTGATGCTCCGCCAGCGTATTCCGTTAACGCAGTCGGGGTTACCATACTATTTACACCCATCAAAAAAAAATTCAGTTAGCTAGCAATATGCCTTATCAGGTCGACCTCCACGTGGTTTCCCGGGACACCATCGTAAACAATTCTTATTTAATTCGTCACCATGGGCCAACTGACCTGCTTCATCCTCCACCTATCACCCTTCACTGGTGCTCCGCCAGCGTATCCCGATAGCGCAGGCGGGGTTACAATTCCATTATCACCCATTAAAAGAAAAAAAAATTCAGTTGCATTAACAAATAAAGATTTTTATTTAACACTTATATTTAACAACTATTACAAAAAAAAATTAATAAACATAATTATATAACTTTTTTTTAAGTTATAAACTTATTATTCATTTAAATATCAGAGTTAAAGCAAAATGATAGTACAAAAAAGAAATAATATTTTCTCCTATTAAACAAAACAATAATTCTTAAAAAAAATAATCCGGTCATAACCTAAGAACAAGGAATTACATAGAAGGAATGATAAAATAAAAACTGTAAATCATATGGTTGCCTCCTTTCTTCTTATGCAAATATAATTAGTAAAAAGAGGACAACAGATACACCATAAGTTGCTATTTTTCTCGATTCATAGCGAGCTAGTGTATAGAAAATGTTTGATATGTCAATTATTTGTCATTAACAAATTTTACATTACTAGATTATATACTCGACACAGTTAATGTAGAAAGTATGCAAGTAGGTTGTATCTGCATTTGGTAGGGTTATACGGCCAATAAAAGCAAGTGGCATATGTATCTTGATGAATTTGACTTCTACGGGCTAGTCAAAAGGCAGATGCGTTTTTATATATCTATCCCTCTCTAACGCATTGGCAATGTCATAAATACAACGAGTAACACACTATTTGAATTATGCATTCCATGTATTCTATTGCGAAATCCTTGGTCATAATTGTGACAAACTTTTTTTTTAATAAACACAATAGGCTAAGATTCCGCCGCTGAATTTAAATGAAACTTTTTAATAAGAATTAATTTAAGTGATAGATGAAAGGTGAAAATGAAAATAGATAACCATTTTAGTAAATTTGGTTACTTCACGATGCTTTTTTAGTAAAATTTACACCAAATGGAAGTTTTTTTCTAGGAATTTGTTTTTTTTTTTTTTCTATGAAAGAATGGTTACCAGTATTTAAAGTTTTATTTTAGATAATGATTATGTTGTAATTACAGGGAATTATTTTTTTTTTATTAAAACCTATGTACGTTAAACGAAAATTTATTCTTTTTTTTTTCTTTACAACAACATAAGGGTTGCCTTTTTTATGCAACTTGGAATAGCAAACAAGCTGACCACCCACCTGGTGGAAACTGGTAACCGTCGCCTATAGACATGAGCAGTACCATGGACGTAACAGAGTGTAGTTTCGCCCATGATACCCCCCATGCATTGCTATCCCTGAGAACTCGGATGTTATTCCTCTGTACCCTGTAAATTCACTGCCATGTCCTAAAAAAAATACTCGCAAATAAGAGTTGTCAACTAGCAACCTGGTTGTGACTAACTGAGAGCAGACAACTCAGGTGCATTGTATTGTATGTTTTCGTTCATCTTTCATTTAAACCATTTCATTAAAAAGTTTTATGCCTGCAGAATTCAGCGGCGAGATTTTATACTACAATATGCACTTATACATATGTATATGTACATACATATATATTTATTTATTTACAATTTATGTATATTTGTTGTATTTACATTATCTTTACCTGTACCTTTCCTGCACTAGATGGGTAATCTAGCCAATTATTTTTTTTCTCTCTCTAACTACACTGGGTTGGCTGGAAGAGATCTCTTTTAGAGATGAGCCCATACTTGCTAACAAGTTGATATACTAACCGTTGTATCTATTGTTCAAGTGCAATAAAGAATATAATCTTTAAGATGCTTGAATCATAATAATATTTTTTCCCTTTTCTTAATAAATTAAACAATAACACTATTTAATATAAACAAACGGGGATAAAAAAAAAGATATAAATATTTAAATATTGTTGAATTAAACACCACCATAATCCAGCCTATAGTCACAGCTAAGTATAATATACTAGTGCTTCTTATCTTTTAACAAATGCATACGCACATGCAATATAAAGCGACTTTTGACGCTGTAACATCTTTTGCACACATCACAACAATATGGCTTCTCTATGTGATTGCGCATGTATAATATACTAGTGCTTCTTATCTTTTAACAAATGCATACGCACATGCAATATAAAGCGACTTTTGACGCTGTAACATCTTTTGCACACATCACAACAATATGGCTTCTCTGTGTGATTGCGCATGTATAATATACTAGTGCTTCTTATCTTTTAACAAATGCATACGCACATGCAATATAAAGCGACTTTTGACGCTGTAACATCTTTTGCACACATCACAACAATATGGCTTCTCTATGTGATTGCGCATGTATAATATACTAGTGCTTCTTATCTTTTAACAAATGCATACGCACATGCAATATAAAGCGACTTTTGACGCTGTAACATCTTTTGCACACATCACAACAATATGGCTTCTCTGTGTGATTGCGCATGTGTTTATTTAACAATGTTTTATTGCCAAAACATTTTTTACACAGATAACAACCGTGTGGTTTATCATCAGTGTGATCAAACATGTGCACTTTCAAACTTGATTTTAATGTGTAACTTTTTTTACACACGTGACATGTGTAAGGTTTTTCACCAGTATGAGTACGCATGTGATTTTTCAAATTCGTAATTACAGTGAAACTCTTATCACACACATCGCATACGTATGGCTTATCATCAGTATGTTTGTACATGTGCATTCTCATAGCTTGTCTGGTAGCAAAATATTTTTTACACACCCCGCAATTGTAAGGACTTTCAGCAGTATGAATACGCATGTGATATTTCAAATACGAATCTGTACTGAAACTTTTTTTACACACATTACAACTATGTCGGTTTCTATCAGTATGAATTTGTACGTGTTTTTTTAAACTTGATCCAGAAGAAAATCTTTTTGTACAAACGTAACATTTGTAAGGCTTTTCACTAAGATGACTACGCATATGCTTATTTATCAATGATTTTGTTGCATAATATTTTTTACACAAATCACAACAGTATGGCTTATCGCCAGTATGATTGAACATGTGTATTTTTAAGCTGTTTCTTAAAGAATAACTTTTTTTACACACATCACAGCTGTATGGCTTTTCACCAGTATGAATACGCATGTGTTTCTTTAAATCTGATTTTACACCAAAACATCTTTTACATGTGTCACAACCATATGGCTTATCATCAGTATGTTTAATTATATGAATTTTCAAAGCAGACCTTGTTATAAAGTATTTTTGACAGACATCACATGTATACGGCTTACCAGTATGTATAAACATGTGAGTTTTCAAATATGCATTGGTACTGAAACGTTTTTTACAAATATCACAACTATAACAATTTTCGTCAATATGAATACGCATGTGATTATTCAACATATCTTTTCTAGAGTAATCCTTTTTACATATGTCACAACTATACTTTTCACCAAAATGAATTAATTTGTGTCTTTGCAACGACGCATTCTTATTAAAATATTTTTTACAAACATCACAACCGTATGGCTTCGCACCAGTATGAATAAAGATGTGCGCGTTGTAAGCTGATCGTAGCGTAAACCCCTTTTTACACACTTCACAAATGTAATTCTTTTTAGTACTATGAATGAGAATGTGTGAGCTCATAGATGATTTTGTAAAAAAACATTTTTTACATACATCACAAACATACCGTTTTTCCCGCGAATGGATATTCATATGTATTCGCAAATTTGAATTGTAACGGAAACTTTTCTTACACACATCACAATTATAGGGCTTTTCACCAGTATGAAATAAAATATGTTTTTTTAAAGCCGCTCCTGTTGTAAAACATTTTTTACACTGCTCACATGTGTATAGATTTTTAGCATAATGAATACGCATATGTATATTCAACGATTCTTTTCTCGAGTAACTCTTATTACAAACATCACATCTGTACCTATAACCAAAATGAACAAGCATGTGCCTTTTCAAAGATTGTCGTAGAATATAACATTTTTTACACAGATCACATCTATATGGTTTTTCACCAGTATGAATACGCATATGATTTATTAGCCTTGATTTTATATCATAAGATTTTTTACACAAGTCACAACAGTAACTATACGGCTTTCCTCCAGTATGAATATATATGTGACTTTTCAAAAGTGATCCAGTATAGAAACGTTTTTGGCACAGTTCACAACTATATGGTTTTTCACCCGTGTGAATAAGCTTGTGTGTTCTCAAATACAAATCAGAACTGAAACACTTTTTACACACGTCACAAGTGTATAAATTTTCAGCAGTATGAATAGGCATGTGACCTTTCAAATACGAATTACTACTGAAACACTTTTTACACACGTCACATTTATATGGTTTTTCACCAGTATGAGTGTTTTTATGTCTCTTCAAGAATGATATTGTACTGAAACATTTTCTACAATCGTCACAACTGTAAGGCTTTTCACCAGTATGAACACGCATGTGTCTTATTATTTCTGATTTTATAGGGAATTTTTTTTTACACACGTCACAGCCGTAGGGTTTATTGTCAGTGTGATTATACATGTGAATTCTCAAGGACGGGCCTGTCAAAAAGCGTTTTTGACATACGCTACAACTGTATCGCCTTTCGCCAGTATGAATTTGCATGTGAGTGCTCAAATATGATTTTGAATTGAAACATTTTTTACACACGTCACACATGTTCTTTGCGCTGTGTACACGCATGTGTGCAGTTAATGTTCTTTTTGTGGAATAACATTTTTTACACTTATCACAATTGTATGTCTTATTACTAATGTTAAAATTTATATCATCTTTCTCATCTTTCAGATGTGATTTTGTTACACAGTCCTCTTTACACACTTCAAATGAACATGGGTTTTGGCTACTATGAATTAACATGTGAGATACTAGTGTCTTGTGTGACACGAATGCCTTGTTACATATATCGCATAAGTATATTCCATCGGATACTACTATTCTTACCTGGCGAATAGAATTTTGAACTGCATCTGAAAACAGGAAATATATATATATTTTTTAATGTAAAATATAATTATAACTTATTGTTCATGATTTTTTATTGTTTTTCAAGTGATGCATACATATCTTCTCTTATTGGAGCAGACAGAAACAATGGAACACCAAATGCTTCGATTCAAACAAACCTCTTTCGCTTCTTCCACATTCATCAATCTTTTCATACACGCTCGCCGGTTACGGGTACTTTTAATTTAGCTCTTCTTCAGCACGTCGCCTATTTGGTTGGCATACATCTCCATTCGCTCGTGCTCGATAAATGTTTTATGATTCTTATTCCATCCATCCTCTCCAAACAGGCAAATCAAACCAATTTTCAAGTCGTACTGCGAAATCGATAAATATAGTATACAATCAGTGTGTATACAGTAAGGTGTAACCTATTAGAAATAAACTTTCCTCTAGAAATAATTATAATTAATTCTTGTTGGATTCATCACTATGTGCCAACCGACCTGCTTTCATTAAATGAATGAATATTTATTTGCAAGAAACATGGTAAATATACAGGTGTTGAAATAATATTTAGTCCAATATAACATTATCACCTATCATTCTCACTGGTAACCTGCCAGTGCATACCGACAGCGCAGGCGGGATTACCATTTCATTAACACCCATTAAAAAACCTATTTGGAGTCATAACTTCACAGGTCACAGGTTCCGGAATATAAAATGTGCGGGCTCCGACATATCCTGCTTCGAAATTTAATTTTTATATTTCTAACTCACCTAATTGTTTTTCATTAAGTACATCTTCAGATTCAGAAACAGTTTTAAAATCTGTGTAATCAGTAGTTCCAGAGGCTGTCCCTACAGCTGTGGGTCCTAAAACCAACCCCTCTTTAACTTCATGACTCTCATATAAATTTTCTAAATTATCCTTTTCCTGTTCGTAAAATGTATCTTGGTCTATTTTCTCAGTAACAACATACTCAGTCTTCAGAGCTTCTGCTCCATCTAGATCATTTTTTTGCTCAATATTTCTGTCTGTTTTATATTCTGGATATTTCTCGTAATCTAACTTTTGTTTTGTATCAGGTTTAATATCTACATTTGCTCCTTGCAATTTGTTTTCAATATCTAACTTTAAATCAAGGGACTCTTGCTTCACATCTATAATATTTTTTTTATCCAGTTTCTCCATTATGAATGTCTATGGATTGTTTTTGGTATACTGTTCAATGTGCCGTCTCAATTGATATCAATTCGCCTACGGGAAGAAAAATATTTTGTAATTAGTGTATTTTTTTTACAAACAAGCTGACGGCCCACCGGATAGAAAGTGGTAACCATCGCCTATAGATATGAGTAGTACCATGGATATAACAGTGTACACTGAAAATAGATAATTCTCTCCATTATAAATTATCTCCATTATATATATATATATATATATATATATATATATATATATATATAATGTCTATATGTATGTAATAACAAGGTAACAATTGTAAAGTAACATTTGTAAAGTAACAATTATTTTTAATAGATATGGCTTAGAAATTATCACCAGAGGGAGATACAAAAGTTTGTACAAAAGTCAATTGCTTGGGTACCTCTGTCCCATTCGTGTTTCAACCGTAAAGCAGTTGTTTGCATGACTGTGTTTCGGTTTGAAGGGTGAAATATGGTGTGAATTTACTGGGTACGGAGGAATAACACCCGAGTCCTCAGGAATGTTAACGCACGGGGGGTATTATGGGCGAAACAGTATACTCTGTTATGTCCATGGTACTGCTCATGTCTATAGGCGACGGTTACCACTTCCCGCCAGGTGGGCCGTCAGCTCGCTTGCCATTCTAAGTTGTATGAAAAAAATTAATATAAACTAAAAAGTACATCCAATTACGTATAATACAACTGAGCATTTGTCCACATGAAGAGAGAAAGTTTACCTCCAAAATCTTGGCAATTACATGTTCAATTCGTGTTTTAATTACACAATAATTTCAAGTACTTTTACTACGGGGGGAAGGGATTGTTAGTGATGGGGAGGTTAGTCCCCATTGCTATCAATATACCCTATCAGGTCGATCTCCACGCGGTTCTCTCTGGAAACTATCGCGACTAATTTATCGTTGAATTCGTCACGATGGGCGAACTGGGCCTGCCTTTTCATCCTCACCAATCATCCCTCAGTGGAGCCCCTCCAGTGTATACCGATAGTACAGGCGGGATTACTATTCCATTATCATCCATTAAAAAAAATTGTTTATAATTACTCCTCTCCATCCAAAGGTTGCCTGGAAGAGATCGCTCTTAGCGATAAGGTCGCCCATTGTTTTCACATTGTGATTATTTCTTGTAATTGTTTGTATTTATAATAAGTTTACTATTGTAATCTTTTGGAGGAAACAATAAAGAGTATCCATCTATCCACTTGTACTACTAGCAGCACCAGGTAAAAGGGACAGTGATATTTTAAATAAAAATTTTTAGGTTATATTTTATTTGAAAAAAAAAAATAACGCAATTTCACTGACAAAAAAAAGTACTAAAGATCCTCAATCAATCAAACATCCACCACACGCTTCTCTTGTTTTTTTTTTATATTTTAAAGTAAATTATACTTACTTTCATTAGTAGGTTGTAGTAGCTAAATACTATTTTACGTTACCATTTAAAAAACAATTCTTTAAATTAAAAGCAAGAAAAATTCACCGTCACCATGTTTCTTATAATATATGTACCACAGTCGCAATAAATTCCAGTACCTATCTACCTAAATATCTATAGTAGTCGAAATATGTAAGTACCTACCTACTTACAAAAAATACAATAAACAGACGACGAACTTGAAATAAAATTCTTGAGCGAATTAGGTAAGCACAAGAAACACAAATATGGAAATAAGCAGACAACTTAGGAAAACTTTTTAATTAGAATCTAATAATGTTGATTATATTATTAAATCCAACTGTAAACACCAACCTACCTACATTTTTTTTAACAATATTCCTTGTTCTTGCCCACAGATGCAGAAAATAATCATTATGTTATTCAAGAGTTGGCATTGCCGTTATATTGACAATACTAGAAAATAAATCTATGCAATCACTAAAAATTATGAACACAATAAAGTAAGTTATTATAGTTTATTCTATGTTTATATATTAAATAATAATATTTTGAATGTAATAAAAAATTTGTTATGTTAAATAAATATTAAATGGATTATACAACTACCTATAATATAATTATTATGGGAGAAGATGATCATATTGATAATGAGTTCGTATTTTTATAGATGACATTTTAATAACACAAAAATTGTGTTACATACTAAAAAACAGCAAGCGAAAATTTAACAATTTTTTTTTAATGGATAATTAATGGAATGGTAACCCCGTCTGTGCTAACGGTATACGCTGGCGGGGCACCAGTGAGGGGTGATAGGTGAATAATGAAAAAAGGCAGGTTAGTAAGCCCATCGTGATGAATACACATGGAACTCGGCACGATGGTTTCCAGGGGGAACCGCGTGGAGGTAGACCTGACAGGGTATATTGCTAGCAATGGGACTTGTAGCCCGCATTACTAACGATCCCTTCCCCCCAAATTTAATAATTGTTGGAATAACACATTAACTCAGTGTGTACTGTGCTAAATTAATAATTAATAAATATCTTAATCCACAAACAACTTTCTGCACTATGCTGATTAACATCAATATTGCTTCATAATATACCTTTATCTATAATACTGATAGATAGACTATGTTATTTTACATTATAAAAATTTCAAATGAAATAAAGTAGCATAGATTTCATACAAACATTTTCTTTTATTTGAAATGACCTATATCCATAGACCATAACCAGGGGGGCACGATGACGAAACAAAAAATGGCCGCGCGGAAAAATTTTAATAAATGGCGATGCTAGTCGCGATTTACTATTAATGCTTCCGTAAGTCTTAGAAAACAAACAAAATCATTTATTAAATATGTATACTTTTATTTTAAAAATCTCCTAAAAACGTAAAAATGAATAAAACAAATTCTTAAACCAAAACTCATTAGTTATATTAAAATTCAAAAATTCTTTTATTTCTACCAGGAAACTATTGTGCTTCGATCTAATTAGCATTGTTTATTTAACATGGTCGTGCTACAAGTTTGTACACATCATTTCACAGATGGCGCTGTTTCTATTTAGTGCACTACCTAAATCTATTTTATCCGTTCACCCAAAATTTCTAGATACAGCATTGCCAGATTGGGTACTTTTGTCGCAATTATGGATAAAAATAATTGTTCGCGAAACAAAAAATGTTGGTAAAATGTTTGAAAATACGTCAAAAAGCTTTGGAGAAGTTTACTGAGTTTTTACTTATTTTTTTATATTTCATTTATTAATTTTTTTTATTTTACATTTGTGGTATCTGTAAATCAGACAGCGTTATATAATTAGTGTGGCATTTTTTTTTGTCGTTCTCTTTGTGGTTACATGTCAAAATGTAGAGAAATTGATACAAATTTGTTGCTTGATTTGTTTTGAAAATTGTTTGCTTGCTTGAGTACAATGAAGAAATTTCTAAAGGTTTGAAGAAAAAATATTTAACATTTGAGTAACAATTAATTATTTTAATGGCAACCCTGCGGCTAGAGATCTACCTACATTGTGTTGGCATGTTATTGTGGTTTAATAAGTGACTCTGTTTCCTGGAATCCAGTCTACAGCTCTCCATCTCAAAGAATAGAAAATATCCAACGAGCATTCACTAGACACCTAGCTTACATAACCCGTAACATATCGCATAGGCGACCTTATAGTCAGAGAATATCCTTCTTTAACATTACCTCTCTTAAGACGCGTCGTATGATTGCAGATTTAATGCTTATTCATAAAAACACCGTGACACGAGAATTTTATATATTAGATCCTTTATTGCACAAAAACATACAGTAACAACAATAAGTTAATAACAATGTTAGCAAAGGCGAACTTATCTCTAAAAGAGATTTCTTCCAGTCAACCTAACGCAGTGGCATAGGAAGTAGTGAGTGGGCAGTAGTAGTGCTAAACAGAAATTATAATAAATATTTACATAAATTATATAATGAGGACTAGTACCTCCATTGCTAGCAATATATCCTGTTATGTCAATCTCTACACAGAAGTAGTTGGTTTGCGCGGATTCTGGCTCACTGGGCGGCGGAAAGCCTCATTTGACAAGACTCGTTCCTAGTTGGTTAAGTTAATCTTCAACTTTTATATGTGCATCATGTTGCGGCTTGGGGGTGGCCTTTGGCCACCCCAGCCGAACCTTAACCTACTGTCACTATGTGTGGGTACTTCATAAGACTCGTTTGCATCTTGCAGGTGTTCTACATTAAATATGCTTAAAACCACTTTATCTCTAAAAAACAAAAATAAAATGGCATCTTATATTTATAAATAAGAACGCGACGTTACAGGATTTTTTCTACCCGTATCGTTGGAATTTCTAACGACTAATATCACTCCAAAAAAAAAGGGATATGTCAATAAGGAATGTTAATTTTCACATAAAAATAAAAAACGACCACATTCATGTTTCAACTTGTTCGTTCAGCCGACTCTATAAGAGCCGTTTCACCATTTGAAATGTATCACAAGAATAAGAATTCCAGTACTGAGTGTGTGGTTCTCGTATGTTACGTTAACACTGAAGAATAATGGACACTTGACATTCAAAGTGACACTAAGTGACTAGTGTCTGAGTTTCAAGTGTCTAAATATCTGGTGTCTGAGTGTCTAGTGCGTGAGTGTCTGAGCGTCTGAGTGTCCAGTGTCCGAGTATCTAGTGTCTATGTCTCTTAGTGTCTGTATCTGAGTGTTTAGAGACTGTGTGTCTGAGTGTCTAGTCTCCATGTGTTTGAGTGCCAAGTGTCTGAGTGTCTGAGTGTCTAGTGTCAGAGTGTCTAGTGTCTAGTGTCTAGTGTCTAGTGTATTGTCCAGTGTCAGAGTGTCTAGTGTCTGAGTGTCTAGTGTCTAGTGTCCGAGTAACCAGTGTCTGTGTGTCTGAGTGTCAAGTGTCTGGGTGTCTAGTGTCTGAGTGTCCAGTGTCTGTGTGTCTAATTTCCGAGTGTCTAGTGTCTGAGAGTCCAGTGAATTGTCCAGTGTCAGAGTGTCTAGTGTCCGAGTGTCTAGTGTCCTAGTGTCTAGTGTCTGAGTGTCTAGTGTCTGAGTGTCTAGTGTCTGAGTGTCTAGTGTCTGAGTGTCTAGTGTCTGAGTGTCTAGTGTCTGAGTGTCTAGTGTCTGAGTGTCTAGTGTCTGAGTGTCTAGTGTCTGAGTGTCTAGTGTCTGAGTGTCTAGTGTCTGAGTGTCTAGTGTCTAGTGTCCGAGTAACCAGTGTCTGTGTGTGTGTGTCTGAGACACACGGACACTCGGACACTGGACACTGGACACTAGACACTCGGACACTAGACACTCGGACACTAGACACTCGGACACTAGACACTCGGACACTAGACACTCGGACACTAGACACTCGGACACTAGACACTCGGACACTAGACACTCGGACACTAGACACTCGGACACTAGACACTCGGACACTAGACACTCGGACACTAGACACTCGGACACTAGACACTCGGACACTAGACACTCGGACACTAGACACTCGGACACTAGACACTCGGACACTAGACACTCGGACACTAGACACTCGGACACTAGACACTCGGACACTAGACACTCGGACACTCGGACACTAGACACTCGGACACTGGACAATTCACTGGACTCTCAGACACTAGACACTCGGACGAATTATACGTAAATGTCATTTGTTACTTTTTAAAATAGTATGCTACATAAATTATCAACTGTACTTAACTTACACATAAGTATTTCCTTTGCATGATAATCAGATTTTCGCATAGAATTCTAGTTCTTATTCTTAGAATACTATTTTTAATTTATAATTAATCTATGTAAACAAAATATTAAATAGTAAACAAAATTACAGTTGCCAGTTGGTGGCTTTTTCCGCCTAGTAAACAAAAATGGTATCATAAGGTACTACCCTTTATCTACGGTATCTGGTACTGAAACAATCTTTATTCAAATAAAGCGCTCCTTGCTTACTTCAAATATCGATAAAAAAAATTGATGTTACTGAATTTCTTTATTGCATGGATTTACATTTATGCATGAAAATCGAGCTATTTCGGTTTGAAGGGTGAGATTTGGGAGTGAAATCACAGAGTACGACAAATGAGTTATTTAGGAGCGACACACTTTACTTCGTGATGTTCATAGTACTGTCCACGTTTATAGGGAATGGTTACTACTTTGCATTAGATAAGCTTATTTCCCATTATAAGTTGTATAAAAGAAATAGCAAAAACTGAATACACGATCCCAGTAAATTTACCTTATAAATAAACTTGACATCAAATACTTTTAAATAGACATTTTATATTAGGTATTGGGTAAGGAAATAAAAACTTCAAAATGGTATTTTCTAAAAATATATTTAATAATAATAATAATATATCTATAATACATTGTTAAATAATTATATTAATTAATTATATTAATGTTTAATTCATCAATAAATCATCGAACGCAGAAAACAATGTTATTACATGCAATTTCATATTTATATCAGCTGTTATTAATCCAAACCATTCGGCATTTCTTTATAGGAAAACAATTTAAACCATAGACAACAGAGGGTTTCTTCCGCTCATATTTACTTATTTAAAAAACTTTATTAACCAAATTGAAATATGATACATATCAACTATTAGTAGAAATATATGTAAAAAAAAATTTAAAACATATGATGTAACCAACGCATCACTATCGGTATTCAACGTTTCAATGCCGGCCTTCTAGGTGCCCTACCAGTCGACATGTATTACTATCTAGTCGGCAGTGACCATAAAAAAATTTTTACCTCATATAAAAAATATAGAGTTTTTAGGTTAAAAATAAATAATAGTACATTACGGCAGCAACTGAGGTATTGATGTACGAACGTACATTTTTTTTTTTTTTTTTTTTTTTTTTTTTTATGCAACTTAGAATGACAAACAAGCTGACGGCCCACCTGATGGAAAGTGGTAACCGTCGCCTATAGACATGAGCAGTACCATGGACATAGCAGACTACATACATACAGACATATGCCTTAGCAAACGACTTTTGTAGTCTCCCTCTGATTATTAAGCCAATTAGTCTCCTGTCGACCACTACACTAGACATCACTACCAGAACGCATCGAGATGAACTTTTAAATGACACAATAAATATTATTATCCAGAGGGAGACTTTGTACAAGTCGATTGCTTGGGTAGCTCTGTCCCATTCGTGTTTCAACCGTGAAGCAGTTTGCATGGCTGCGTTTCGGTTTGAAGGGTGGGATATGGTGTGAATTTACAGGGTACAGAGGAATAACACCTGAGTCCTCAGGAATGGCAACGCATGGGGGGTATCATGGGCGAAACAGTATACTCTGTTATGTCCATGGTACTGCTCATGTCTATAGGCGACTGTTACCACTTTCCATCAGGTGGGTCGTCAGCTTGTTTGCCATTCTAAGTTGTATAAAAAAAAATCTTATACATATAGCTATATTACTGCAGTCCATCGATCACGCTGTTTAATCGCAAATCAATTCATTAAATTTTAATATATAATTCTCATTTCTATAACAATTTAAAATTATATTTTTGTTTAAATAGACTTTAAGACCAAACCACACAACAATCTGCTGATGTCAAACAGTAGAACAAATCCAAAACGTTTTGATTATTTCAATTATATAATATAACTATTATATCTGTCTGTTTACTGTATAGATAATCTGGTAGTATTATTTTATTGTTACCCTATTCCCTCTGGCCGCAACAGAATATCAGTGCTTTGCTCTTTTGAGGGTGAAGCAATAAACTGAGTTGTGACCATTTTGTATTGTTATGGCACATGCACAAACGAAAAATTGTATTTGGCTTTATATATATTTTTTTTAATAATTTATATTATCTCGCTTCTTATGTATATCTGTATATGTTATAATTTGTGTGCTGTAAGTAATGCAAATAAATTATGTATCTATCTATCTACTTAGTAACTTATTTTGAAAAACTCAATAAAATTCCTTTGAAACCTCTTTCTTTCCCATGAGTATCGTTAAGAGAAAACGAAAAAAAAACGTAATAATTGAAAGACGGTCAGCAGAATCCCTTTTAAAACATCACCAAAGCCTAACTGAAGTTGCCAACCCGCTTGCCAAATATGACAACTACTGGCAAAACAGCTTAACCGTTTGAGTGCCGACGAGCGCCGTAGCACTCGTGAAATCCAACTGTTTCGCTCGCTGCAGAAACAATATTGAAATTGGATAATTTTTGGAAGAGAAACCGTTTTTTTGGAGACAAGGGTAAATGACATCGACACGACAAAGATTTCTTTGGCAAAGATTTTTAAGTGGATACGAGTAAAAATGAATGCTTCTGAAACAGTTAAGGTATATATTATATAATTCCCTTATTAAAATATTCCTTTTCAAAAGGCCGGCAGCACACCTGCAATTCCTCTAGTATTGTGGGTGATCGTGGGCGACGGTAGTCACTTACCATCAGGTGAGCCGCATGCTCGTTTGCCCCCTGTTGTAAAAAAAAAATCAGCAATGGACAGATAACGGCTGTGATGTGATTCAAACATTATGTTCTATTCGAATTATAATAAAAATCAAGCGTATAATTACAAATACAAGTAATGCTTAAGACTTACAAGAAATTTTTAACAACGTGAATCTGGTTTCAGATAGCTCAGTCAAACACAAAAAGGCACTCTATTCCATACAATACCTCCAGTCTCAACCTTATAACATGTCATATTCGTGAACGACACTCTGTTTCCAGGGAGAACCGCGAGGAGGTCGACCTGGTTGGGTATATTGCTAGCAATGGGATTCTCAGTCTCCATTACTAACAATCCCTTCCCCAAGGGGGGGGTGGGGGTTTTTAGCAATGAAGTTTAACAGCCCCATTGCTAGCAATATGTCCTATTAGGTCGACCTCCACGTGGTTTCCCTTGGAAACCATCGTGAACAATTCTTGTTAAATTCGTCACGATGGGCCAACTGAGCTGCTTCATCGTCACCTATCAACTCTCACTGGTGCCCCGCCGGTGTATACCGATAGTGCGGGTGGGGTTACCATTCCATTGTCACCATAAAAAAAAAGACGTCTATGGGACGTGGATAATATAGGTAGGCGCTCACTTCACCGAGTTCTTCATATTCTAGTCCCACTAGACGAGTGGCAAATATGTAAACCGATCAGTCGATACATATTTATTAACAGGACAATAAAAGAGTCTGGATGTTGGCGTTTCGTTAAGCATGCGGTAGCGATAACATATCTACCGACAAATTCTTTTAAAGCGCAAACCTTGTCTCGATACTACAGAATATCTACAAAGAATAACCTTCAGCCAGTGCCCAATTTCGATATAGGATTTATTTCATATAAATTAAAGTATTTGCAGTGTATCTGTCAATCTACCACTACGATTGAAATGTCCACTTTCCATTGCGAACCGGCTGAGAAGCTTACGCTCCCCGCCCTACACGTACACCTGCAAGAGAACCGAAGACGAAGTTGTCGGGCTATATACCATACACTATCATTTATGTACAAAACATGTTTATTCATGAAACATGTTTACTATGAAACATGTTTACCAAGAAACATGTAGGTAATGATATTAATAACTTCATTCTTTGCTATTTGTGTACCAACAAATCCAGACATCTTTTCTATGTAACTTAGAATGGCAAATAAGCTAACAGCCCATCTGGTGGTAAGTGATAACTGTCACTTATAATATTAATTTGAAACTAAAATTAATACCAAGACTTGTTACATTAAGTACTAGAATATTTATTTATATTGGCATATATATTACACTTAAATATTGCATCATTATTTAATGATGGTTAAGTTTCTATTCAAGATCAAAATTATTGTAGACTATATTTTGACACCTAAAAAATCAGTTCAACTGATAACCTCCATTTTTTAAGTCGGTCAACACACAAACTGATTTCCATATTGAAAGATACTGTAATTTTATAATATGTAACAAATTTTTTTACTTAAAATGCATAATCAAATAATTATTTCACATTCAATTTGAAACCTCAGAAAGAATTTTCAAAATGTAAAGTCACATTTTTATTATATTTAAAAAAAAAAACTATTTATTAATCAAATAAAATACCACCTATGATAAAAATACATTACCAAAAAAGCTCCCCTATTCCTTGGTGTTCAAAATACAGTTTAAATTCATATAAACTTGAATAATTTATTAAAATTATTAAAAAAAAAAACGTAAGAAATATATTCGATACCCACTAATTTGCTTTGTTTCAGTTTTTGATGTAATATAGTTAATAGAGAACACAATTCTATCTACTTTTTATATACTATATTATATAATATATATATATATATATATATATATATATATATATATATATATATATATATATATATATATATATATATATATCTCAACAAACTGTACAAGGAACATCGAAGCGACAATTATGGGCGTAATGTTTGAAAACGTGATCGAATATGAATGCTGTGAACCCTAAATTTATGGTTTTTTTTTTTTTCATAAAAAACAGTTAATCACCAATATTTCCTAAAAAGGAAAACCTTAGATTATAAAGTATAATATAAAGGGCCAATCTAAGCCAATGTAAAAGAGAAGATACATAATAGCATATATGTGAGAGTGAGACAGACAAGTAGGGCACTCGCCTAAACTATATTAACACGAAACTGACTTGAAGGGAGTATAGATAAAATAAGTTCTCATTATTTTTACACTTTTTAAGTGTAATTAGTTTTAAGTGAAAGTAGTCGGTAAAAAAAAAAAATACTTTTCGCATAATTGCTCTGTTAACATTTATCTACTTTGAAATGCAATATTACAGATCCTCTAATGATTCTATACTATTTCTGTAATATTTTACACAAAAATTAGTAGAAAAAAAAAATCTAATTTAATCCAAATTATTATGAATACATGAACTTACGCTATTTTTGCGAATTCAATTCCATATAAATTCAGACTTATACATAAATTTACAGAACACTTGATGATGAGTGTGACTTGTTGATGTTGAGTTTTTAAATTTACAGAACACGCACACTAGTGTAACCATTTTTATATCTCGTTTCTATAATTGCATTGCCAGTCTGTCAATATATAAATATATTATTCGAAAAACAATTTATAGGAACCAAAAAGAAAACATTCTAATTTTGAATTTATCGCAAATATGATTAAATCAAAAAGAAAAATCGTTACGCTCTAGTACCAATTCTCAATATTATTGTATATAATTGTAAAAAATATTTTTCTAAGTAACATAGAAATAGAGATAAATAAATTAAAAGAATTGTTATTTATTATGTATGTTTATATATTATGTATTTTCATATCAATTAGGAAATATTGGTAGTCAACTATTGTAATGCAGATTAGACTATTATTTTAACACTCACGCATTATTTTAACATTTTGTTTACTTTAGACATTATTATTACACATGTAAAGTGATTATACTGACTTTCACACATGTGATACATGCA